ATTGGGTTGTCGGAAAGTCATGACGCATATTTGCAACGAAAAACATTAAAAAAACACGTCATGACTCTTCTGACAACCCAATAGTTATCCAGAGGTAAATTAATTCTCCAATTAAGGTATAGTTCAGTTTTTAAGAAAGACAGTTTACCTCTTGGATTTTATAGATAAGTCTCATGGTGACTAGATAAATGAATAAAATTTTATTTTTAAAGAAAATATATCAAAGTGTGAATAATGACAGTGTCTGATGAAGGGATTATAGATGATCTAATTTTTCTATATACTTTTTGTATTTTCCTTAATTTCCATAATGAGCATATACTACTTTTATAAACAAAAAATGTAAACATTTTAGGAAAAAAATAGCTTGGATTTAAATAGCATCTTTCTTCCAAAGTACTATCAGAATTAAAGTTGTACCTCCTCCAGGTACAGGATGCTTTTTTCTGGTGGCCTGTCATCAGAAATATTGCTCTAAGAATATTTCAAAATAAACTAAATAGAACATTCTTAGATGATCTTGTTTTGTTTCCAAAAAAATGACTTCCCAGACGCTCCTATGAAGCTGCTGTGACATACCTGCCCTCCAGCTGCACAGGCAGCCACTAAACCATACTGGCCTCCTTCCTTCCGTAATCTGTTGGCAGCTGCCATGACCAACCGGCAGCCAGTGGCTCCAAACGGATGACCCAGGGACAGCGATCCACCCCAGGTGTTAAACTTCTCCAAAGGAGGCATTCCAACCTGGTTCCCACAAAAACAGACACAAGTATAAAGATGAGTTTACTTAACAGAAGAATCAGGCCAGGCTCTTAGTAATAGGAAGTAAGAGAGAGAGAGAAATAACTAACTTAAGACATATCACAAATAATTTTACTGCAAAAGAAAAATTCTAGGTCAATTCTGAAAGCCAAAAATCCATTTATTTTTTCAGCTAACATCAGAATGGGAAGAACAAAAGACAAGTTAAAATGTTGCTGTTATTTTTAACTAAAGCATTTCCAGGAACTATTTTGCAACTAAGAAACAAATATATATATCTAATGAAACAGAAAATTCTTCATAGGAGAAGCTTTCTCCTTCCTATTTTTACTAGCAGGTAACTAAGATCCAGATAGTAAAGTGCTTTGGAAAGTCAAGTACATTTTTAATCAGAAACTTACCTTGCTTTTCCTACCCATGTAGTTTTGTGCAAACCAGTCAGAGTCCATGGCTTTAAAATTAGCCAAAATCTGACCCTAGAAAGAAAAATAATTCAATAAGGACCTTGTTATTAATGTCTCCTGAGGCTTTCTTTTACACATGAGCTTATCTAACTTTAAAGATGAGCAAATCTTTAAATCAGTTGTCACTGAAAAATTTCTAAAGAAACAATTTGATACTTTGGAAGGGCCTCTAAGAGATAGCCTCAAAGGTATGTTTTTACCCTGTGCATGTGCCCTGGATTCCCTCCCCTATGTCCCTGCCAGCAGTGTTAGCCGGTACTTCAAATATAAAGCTCCACTTCTATTTTATTCATATTACAAACTATGCCTTGCTCCCTCCCACAAACATGGACTATGTTTTTTAGGATTATAGTTCTTTGATATGTGTTTTTAAAATGACTTACTGAGAAAGCTTCATGAAATTCAAAAGCATCAATATCATTCATTGTTAATCCTGCCTTTTCTAGAACTTTTGGAGTAGCGTATGACGGTCTGAAAAGAAAAAATAAGTAATATGTTAAAACCTTAACTTTTAACCTAAGAGCTCCTTCATATTCCCCAAACTGAGTTTTACACAGGTATTAGAATGTCCTTCACTCATTCACTGATTCTACTGTATGTACAAATATCAATTAAGTGTGGGGATGCAATAGTGAACTGAATAGACCACAGCCTGTGGCCTTACGCAGTTTCTATTCTAAGTCAGGGAAACAGGTAATAAACAAGTAAACAATAAAAGAAAAAGACAAACTAATAATGTGAAGAACTAGAAGAACACAGGGTTCATAGGGAAAGGCACAGGCTAGGGGCATGGCTAGTTTGAAGGACATAACGAGGGTAGAGCCTTGTGAGGGAGGGGGAGATAGGATAAAACGAGGAGGCTTTTATGAAAGGCTATTCTGAAGATTGTGTAGCAATAAGAAAAAATGCTTACAATATATTCATAAAAAATAATATGAAGTTATATACATAATGACAAGTAGAAATTATAGGAAAAAGTGGAAAAGAATCCCAAACTATAAAATGATATACCAACATAAAGGATGATTATTTTTAATAATCCAACACACAAACCAATTTTGAACTCAGGGCTTAATGTACTTTAAAACCTGTATAATAAATGTGGGTAATCAAATACTTTTATTCTAGTCCAAGGATATATATACTGCTACCTACCCGAGTAAAAGTTGGTCTTTTGGATCTTGAGACACGTACACAAAATCCCTAGGTGGAAAATAGAGGGTTTAGCTCCAGTAATAAAATAAAGAAACCAGAGGCAATTTATTTAAACATTTACTTTACCTCAGATATGCCTTGGGCTTGTAACCCAAGGCCAAAGCTTTTTCCTCTGCCATAATCAGCATCGCAGATGCACCATCAGTCTGAAATGTTAACCAGAAAAATAATGTTCAATTCTTCAGCCTGTCTGGAGGTCTTTCATAGCCATCTTCTTCTGTTTCCTGCTCCTGAATCTACCAAATAATTATACAGTGGTTTTATATAGCAAAACCTTTTTATTTATCCATCATGAAGTCACAATTCAAACACACACACTATAGAGTGTTTGACCCATTTTTGGAGGATGTTCAAAACGTACCATAATTATCAAACGGACAGAGAATAGGTAACTTTAGAAATGTGTATTCATAAGAAATTTAAACCAAATTTTTTTTGCTTTTGACACAGAATATGAGGAATTTTATGAATTAAAACGATCTTTGCTTTACTTTATTTATTTTTACATTTTCTGGACTGTTTCTCAGTTGCTTCCTGCCTGTGACTTCTAGGTGGTTTTCTACTTAAAGAGATTCCACAGCAAGCAAACCAATGGGAGAAGGGAAACAGGTAGACAGCTGAGAACGTCAGAACCACAGTGCTCCCTCTTTGAACACACCCCATATGCTCTTTCCCAAATGACAACTGAGAAGTTGGGGAACAAACAGGTACCATTGAAAAAAGCAAACTACTCTGTAGAGTTTGCAAAATCAAAACAATTTCTACCACATTCTACCATATTTTTATAACTTAGTAGCCCTGAAGGGGATATGTAGGCACCACTAATAGGGTGGCCATAAAGTCTGGAAACATAGCTGACTATACATAATCTATGGTTTGTGGACATTACATTAATAATATGTTCAATGTGCCACTGGGCAAAATTGCAATGAACATAGTGCATTAACATATTTCTGAAAACCCATGTATCTGTGATGTCTTGCCTTTGATGATTTTTGTTTCCGGTTTTCAATAAATAAACCTGCACCGTTAGCTCGCCCCAGGAGTAATCAAGAGGGTTCAGATCTGGCAAAAGTGCAGCCCAGGCCATATGGCCCTATTGTCCAGTTACGTCTGGGAAATGATCATCTCCTCAGCCCTTCACCACTTAGGCTTAGCGGGGTAGAGCATCATCCTGCTGGAACTACTCCAGGCATCCGTCCCCTAGACCAGGAGCAGGCATTAAACAGTCACTTACCAAAACCAAATATGCCAAACATTTGCCTATGTTTCCAGGTAGGGGAGTTATACTATACATTGACTAGATGGACTACATCCAGAAGATTACACACAAGGTGGTAGGAGGACGGAAACCACACATTACAAGCAGAAGTAGAATCAAGAGGGATGTTTAATTGAGGAGCCAAAAAAATAAAAAATTAAAAAATTAAAAAACAAGGAAATGAAGATACCTGCAGATAAGTAAAATAACAACAACAAAAAGTGAGGGTATTTTATTCCATGATAGGAAAATAATTTGGGGGTCAGTATAGAGCATCATTTTCTACCACTCAGAGCTAGAAGAGCTGTCTTGCCACTCTCTCTGCTTACCTTCCATGTCTTTTATGAATCCCCAAATGCATATCCTAAGCTCCAACCAAGCTTTACCCCGAAGAGGCCCTTGCTTTCATACTGCCTTGATTTTGCATTTGTCATTCCCTTTGCCTAGAATGACTTTTCTGTGTTTCTGGAACTAGCTTGCACTCTTCCCTCAAGTGTTAACCTCCTCTGAGAAGCCTCTCTGACCACCATCTATGCCTCTTCGCCAACAGCCTGTGCTTATAGCCATCACAACGCTTTCTCTCTATATTAAAACCATCTGTTCTTTTTATCTCCAGTGCCTAGCATAGGCATTCAAAGTTTTTTGACTGGTTAAGTGTCTGAAGAGAACAGCTTTTTTGCATCAGAATGGTGGCTGCATCAGGTGACTGCTAAGGCCTTAAAAACTATGATTCTATTTTAACATTATCTTTATGGTGAATAACTATTTTTAAGCTTCTATTCATACTACAAACAGATAGATCAACTTAAGGTTTTTCTACAAGAGTACACAAATATAAAAGTCACTAGAGAACACACATAGCACACATAAGTTACCAGGAAAGAAGAATTTGCAGCTGTTACTGTGCCATAGGGCTTGACAAACGCGGGTTTGAGTTTGCCCATCTGATCCAGGGAGGAAGGACGAATGCCGTTATCTTTGGTAACTGTATCTCTTCCTGTAAATAATATGAATTCTTTAACTCTAAGGAACTATTACATTATATATCGTCTCTAGAGAAATATGCTTTAAAAATTATAAGAACAAATGAAATGTAAACCATACCTGTTTGCTAAAAAGAAAGCCTTTAGTGTTATCAAGATATTATCAAATTCTAAACTAAACTCTTAAGACTTTTGGAAAAAAATCTAAATGATTTAACAAAAAAAGGACACCCTATTTTAAGATATTCATTCACATCTGGCTAGTCTATACAGAGATCCTATGAATGAAGAATTTTAAAAACAGGCACCTGTATGAGAACTAAAATATATCAGGAAAATGTAAAAGGAGACTCTTAGAAAAACTTCTCTCTTCACGGGGATGTAAAGTATAGCATAGAGAATAGAGTCAATAATATTGTAATAATCATGTATGGTGCCAGGTGGGTACTAGATTTATTGGAGGGATCACTTCATAAATTATATAAATGTCTAACCACTATGCTATATACCTGAAACAGCATGAAATAATATTGAACGTCTACTGTAATTGAAAAATTAAAAAAAAAGACTTCTCTTTAAAATGTTTACCTATTATTGCAACATAAATTGAAACTTGAGTCCATGTTTAAAAATAAAGGCTGAGTACTTTGGAAACATAACTGACATATTCACTGAAAAATCATTTGGGGTTTTTGGAGTTTTAGGAGCCATTCAGGCCTCCCTAACACATATCACAAAGCAGTCTCCTTGACCAAGTGGAGCAAACCATTTCACCTGGCACTTTGAAGGGTACAACATCCGAAAGGAGTCCTTCATCCTGTGCCTTCTTGGCCAGGCTGTGTGAGCGCAGCGCATACTCATCCTGTTCCAGGCGAGAAACAGCAAAGGCAGCAGCCAGTCGGTCTGCAGAGTGGCCCATGGTCTCATTGGTGGAGAACTCAGCCACCGCAGGGAGCTGGGGAGGGAGCCAGACACGGTCAGGGACACTGTTGATGGGTGTTATACCACACCCAGGGTTATTGGGAAAGTTAAAATCCACTATCAATCAAGACCAAGACAAGGGAAATGCTGTGTGACCAGGGCATCTCTAAAGAGGGCCTACAAATTCAAATTTTCCAACCACTGTCTTTTCTTTTTTCAACTTGACCTGCCCTGTAACTATCAGAGCATCACTGGACCCATGCTGCCTTACCTAATTCTAAATCTCTGAAGTGGGCTGCTTTGGAGACACAAGTCTTTATGTAAGCATTCCCAAATCTTACCTCGGGTGCTAGGAAATTCAGTCTGAATTTAGAGATCAAAGATAGTCGCTGACCCAGAGTCTTGGCCTTATTGAGATCAAGCATCATTTTTCTCATTTTCCTTGAATGACGAATAGGGATGTCGGACATTAACTCTACGCCACCTGCCACGATGACATCAGACTGGCCGGAAGCAATCAAGCCAAAACCTACAAGGCACAGGTCATATGCACATGAACATCTTTTCGCATAAATTAACAGACCATTGATAATTTAAGCTTCTTGATTTAAAAACTGTATGACAGTTATCAGCATTGTACAACATCTGTAATTAAGGTTTTCATCTGAAAAGAGGGATTAAGATAACTTTTTAAATGACTAAAAATACATTTAATACACTAAAGACAAACCAGTGTTATGCAGGCTTTATGGACATCAACTTCTGGAAATATCCATGGGATCAACTCTCAAACAAATCATATTCTAAACCAGAACTTTCAGCATATTTTATATGCTCCCAACTTTAATTTTTAGATATTTTTACTGTAAAGGGAATTTCAATTTCTACAAGCCAAAGAAATTCTGGCTTTTGAGATGTAAGGCAGCCCCCTTCCCACTTTATGGCCATTGGCAAGTATTTTGTTGCTCTACCTGGGAGTGGTCACATGCTACACTGAGTGGTGAGTTGCCCCAAGCACTGGCTCTGGCTTCATTCCCTGCCACCCAGGGGGTAGGCTGCCCAACCTGACCTTGATGTTACTAAGAGAACACATGATTACTATATCTTTCAGATTTCCTGTCTTTTCACAATAAGGGCCGATGCTACAAAATGACCCACAATTTGGCTAAAGATTGTTAGGAGAATTTGTAACTAATTATGAGAAATGCCAAGATGTGGGGGGAAAGTAGAAGCAGATGGTACAGAGGGCTGTACCATCTAAAGCAGTGACTTATCCCTCTGATGATCGTGGAGGGAGGAAGGCCAATCTCCATGGGGAAGTATCATATTAGAATCACCTAACTTTAAATCTTGGCAGGTTATAAACTATTTCATGTCTCAAATTCAGAAGCACCCATAGAAACATATTCCTCCAGTTGATAATCCCTGTTGTAGCCAGCCATGTAACTGATGGAGGAACTACATGAATCATTGAGTCCCTCAGGTATAGAATGAGCAAGAGAATAAGGTTGAGACCTATCGTCAAAAATAAAAATTTTTAAATATTACCATGTTTTTTTAAAAAAACACAAATTCAGAGATCTGTGCATATCATTTACTTCTGTTAAGAGTACTTTTTAGTGATCAAATAAAAGACAAAAGAGGATTACCATGTACCTTCTGCTTTCAGAAAAACATACCTGTGGTCATGGCTTGGTTGGAAGAGATGCAAGCCATGGTGACAGTGTGAGCAGGAGTCTTGTCAGAGAAGCCAGCTCCAAGGGCAGCCTTCAGGAAACACAGTGAATGAAATGATCATGTTACATGCAAATGAGTCTTATACTTCTCTGTGTGGTGAATCAGGAAGGGTTTCAGTTTAATACTCTACAGAGTAATATTCAAAATAAAATGAATGGTCACAGGAATGGTTTACTTATTTTTCATCTAGCCATTAATGACAAGGACTCTGCAAAACTCTTGGTAGCCGGTTTCTAGTAATGGTAGGTATACAAGGCTACAGCACTCTTTTATCTCTCCTAATTTCTTTCCTTTTTTTTTTTTTTTAAAGATTTTTATTGGGAAATTGGGGGAGGGGAACAGTGCTGGGAAATCGGGGAAGGGGACCAGCAGAGTTGCTGTCCTTTTGTTCTTCAGTCTAGTTGTGGAGGACATTGCTTCACTGGCCCATGTTGGTATTATCATTGCGCTCTTCCCGGGTGAGGCAG